TGAAGGATCATCAGGAGAGATGAATTCAATGTGATGACCAGCCGCCGAATAACAGCACAGCTGCCAAATGACAAAACAGCCTATACCTTCTAAAAACACTTTCAAAACCGATATAACAGTCAGGCAGATGCAATATATGATATTTGATATTTTAGGATTATTTGATAGTGGTCGTCTGATGTGCGTTTTCCAATAGTTCAGGCAAATTTGAAGAGTGTGGGGTGACTGATGAACAACATACAGTACAGAAAAAAATGCTCTCGTGCTGTAAATGGCATGAGAGCAATTCTAAATAAATAACATTTAAAAACAACATTTTTAATTACATGAAATTATACAATTATATAAATATATTATATGAATAATATATAATTAAAATATACAATATAAGATGAATAATATAAATAATACATAATAATACTAATGTATTATATTAATATCAATATATTATTAATATTATGATTATTATTATAATGAATTATTATTAGGGCTGTCAGTTTAACGTAATTAGTTATGAAAAAATAACGAGATTAAAATATTTCAACGCAGTTAACGCACTGGCCCCGCCCCCAGACCTGTACGTCATCTTACATTTCATATAGTTGACAGTTGACAAACATGATGCAGGGCAACAACTCCATAAATGCAGCTATGCCCTAAAATTCAAGATATTGGGGCAAAAAAATATTTGTCTCATATTTATTTTATATGATATCACACGGGCAGAGAAAGCTATATCACGTTGTTTTTGTCCTGAATATCATGAGTTTAAATGTGATACAACAGTTCAGTAAATAAGACGTTAATATTGTGTTATATTTTAAACAAAATATTGTCTGTTTTTGCTAAGTTTTGCAGAGAAATTACCTTTAAAGCCACAGCATTCATTTCTGAATGAATCCGTGTTTTGAACGAATCGTGTGAACCAATGCTTCAAAGGCACATTCATAAAGAGAGCCGTTTACTTCATTCCTGAATGAATCAGCCGTTTGAATGAATCAAATGAATGAATGAATAAATGACTCATAAAGACATTTACCGCCACCTGCTGGCAGTTTTCATTCAAACGGCTGATTCATTCAGGAATGAATGAATAAATGACTCATAAAGACATTTACCGCCACCTGCTGGCAGTTTTAGTTTCTTACTGCTTATCATTTAATTAAAAAAAAAAAACATTAAAGGGATAGTTCACCAGCAAATTTAAATTCTATCATCAATTAACCTTATGTCGTTTCAAACCTGTATGACTTTCTTTTGCACAACATAAAATAAAGTATTTTGAAGACTTTTGGTAACTAGACTGTTTTAGTTACCAGTGACTTTCATTACATGAACAAAAAATGATGTTTCTCTTCTTTTATGTTGCATAGTTTATGTTGGGCCATTGTAGCTTAAAAGTTTATGTGTAATAAATGTTATGTTAAATCAAATAAAATATTTCTTTCTAAAGCTACTATTTGTAATATCTACATGATACTTTCTTATTTAACACAATAATGGCTTTAAATTATCTTTTGTGGGTAATTTCACAGCCAAATCTAATTTGCGATTAATTTGATTAATTAATCGACACATCGTGTAATTAATTAGATTAAAATTTTTAATCGACTGACAGCCCTAAGTATTATGTATTTTATTTTTTAACTATTTAACTATTTCTATATTTGGCCAATATATTGTTGTATCACTATTGTTGATATTATTGAAATCTGTATATAAATATATATATAAGTGGATAAGGAGAAGGAGTCCAGAAGTGCTCTTATATTATGAAAAATTGTATATACAACAGTTACGAGATATAGATATATCATAATTATATAGAAAATCTTGTACCAAAATTCAAATAAAGGAAGTCATACAGGTTGTTAATGGCATTAGGGTGACTAAAATGAAAAATACTTACTAAAATTTTAATTATACTATTTAAAAATTATATATAAATTATGTGACTTCATACAATTAAATGTTATCATAAATATTATAAAATATTATTATATCATTATTATAATAAAAAGAAAAAATAATAATATGAATTATAAATTCAAATAATAATAACATAAAATATTATATTATTTATTATAATAATATATAATTAATTATCAGGATTTTGCAACTATTTACTTGTTTCTATAATTGGCTGCTATATTGGTGTATCACTATTATCGGTATTGGATATTATAGTTATCATCTGCTACTGCTAGTTGTGTCCAAGAAAGATTTGGTGTCGCCTGCTATCATTAAATTGTATGATATCATATAAATCATAATTATATCCACCATCATCCACCCTGCTCTCTAGAAATCAGCCAATAAAAAGCCCTTATCAGGCGACCACTGAGTCAATTAGCTCTGTATTCTCCTGTCCGCTGTGCTGTTGTCCTGAGGCTGAGTCTGAGGCGGCCGCTGCTGGAGCTGATGGAGGGTGTGGGTCA